TCTCCAGCAAAGCCTTCCCTCTGCGGGGTGTGCAGGAGAAGGGGTGGCCCCAAACTGTGCAAAACCTTCTTTTGCTCCATCCAGCCTTGGAAGCTTTGACCCAACCTCTGCAGGAGCTGCTGGTGGCCCGGCTCCCACCCTGGACTCAGCTCAGCTCTGCTTGATTGTTCTCACACAGCTCTGGGGACAGGTTCCCACCACTGCAGCTGCACGAGGCCAGTTTGGCTTTGTTGGGAGGGAGGCAACAATGAGCTCAGGCATTTTAGGGTTATGAAAATATAAAACCCTAACCAGATATTACTAACTTTGCTTCTTGCTTACTTCCTTTGCTGCTACCAGCGCTAGGAGTTCGTATTGTGCAGTGAGCCCCTTTGTTTTGTAGGAGACCAAGTGATTAAAAACAGCCATGATATTACTATGCATGGACAGTACATTTTTTCCATGTATTTTCATAACCCTTTCCCCAAAGGATCAAATGTGTCTTTATTCTATAACTCCACAATGGGTTAGAGCATCTCCTCGGGCGGGAATTGTTCTGCTCCATAGGCCACTTAATACTTCCTATAAACAAATACCAAATTCGGTAGGTAATACTCAATATTCCTGACCTTACTTGCAAAGTATGTGTAACTGCATCTCAGAGAGACAAGGGTGGAGGTACCTGTTGTGAACCTGAGGTTAAAGATGACAAAATACTTGTTGTGGGGTTTTGCTTTTTTCTGTTTTAGTTTTTGGAGTTGTTTGTTGGCTTCAGTTTTATTTTAATAAAAAGCAAGGGTATGTGTAAAAATGGCATTTCCGACAAAAGAAATGCAGGGAAGCTTTGATGTCAGACCTCTATTGTACCTTGGGCATCTCTGGTACCTAAACCAAAGTGTATCTGTTTGAGAATGGAGTTTCACAATAATGCCATGGGATATATTTTTAAGTATGCACGTGCCTGCTTGCTTTTTGTGCCTAGTTAATGCTGTGTAATTTTATAAATATTGTCTGAATTTGAACCATGACATCAAGACTCCACATCAGAGCAGGACCCCTTGGCCCTTCAGAGTCCCTGGCATGGGAGGTTTCCACTCTTCTTTCCTTTGCAGAACAGGCTGCTTGGGACAGAGAGAATACTGTGAGACCCCTAGACCTTGCCTCCACTATGGGCCCAGTGTCAGATGCTGCCAAGTTGTTATGGAGGTGACACTGTCCCACTACAAGCCTGGCAGCCTCTGGGATACAGAGCAACTGAGGACAGGGAAGGTCCATGACCAGGAAAGGAAAAAAAAACCCCTAAATCTCTCTGCCCCAGTGTCCCATTTGTGCGAGAGTGTTCTGACCTTTCCTCGCAAGGGCCCTGAAAGCTGATGGGAGATTTCCTGTTGCCCCATTGCTGTTCCTGCCGGGCAGCCCCCCATAGATGTTTGACTCTCACTGCCTTGCCCTGGAGGTATGTGGCTGTGCTTGCCTCAGCCCCTTGCAGTGCTCCATCTGAGCAGCATTTTGCAAAGGGATGGTCTGCAGACCATGTACTTCCACTTGCAAGAGTCCTTCCCATCCCCTTGTTTTGTTACCCTCCTTCCTCCTCTCTTCTCCACTCAGAAAACATCTGTTTCCAGATGTTGTTCTTGAGTCTAATAAATGCAGCGAAAGGCCTCGAGTTAATATATTTACAATAGCTGGAGATGTTGGCTGCTAGTTAGTGGCTCGTTTGAGCACACCAAGACCCCCGTGTTTCCTGCGGGGGG